TTTATGCTTTCCGTATATGTGCACGTTAAGGAAAGGTAGAAGATGATCAAGTATCATAATGTGAATATGTTAATGTTTCTAATAATAATAATAATAATAATAATAATAATAATAATAATAACAACAATAATAATTATATAACAGTTTGATGTGTTTAATTACAGAAACAGTTCCAGCGGGTACTGTTACGAGACTTTACAAATGTCAGGATTCCACGAGCTACAGAAGATAGCGATGAGGAAAACGCACCGAGACGAATTTGTCATAACGCGCCCTGTGGATGGGCGGTCTATAATCCGTATACGCGTAACATTGAGTATTTCATGAGAAACACGTGAGTGTGTGTTACTACTATATTATATACGTGTGTATATATACATATATATTTTTTGTATTACTATATAACTTAATTGTAAGATAATGTTAAAAGCATTTCGATACGCGCATCTCCTCTCGAGAACAGATCTAGAGATGAATTGAATTTATGCAAAAATAATCATCTTTTAAATGTAAAACTTGAAAACTATAAAATATGAGAGAAAATATTTTATTAGATAAAGCGTAGATGGACAGGTTTGTGGGATATATGAAAATTAATATTACGTAGGCGTATAAGAAGATTGTGCCAATTATTTACAATTTCTTATATAATATTTCTCTTATATAATATTTCTCTTCATTTGATTTCTCTCTCTGTCTCTCTCTCTCTAAGAAACATAATAATTTCTTCTCACTTGATTTGTACAGTTGTGAATGCCCGGATGAAAGTTACAAGTGCGTGCGCGTTGGAGATGATCTCTCCGCGAGTGCGTACGTATACCGTTGCCGCCAAAATACGACAGCGGAGGACATTGAGTCTCCTTCTCTCGATGACACTCTCTGAGACGAGATCGGCATCTCGTCATCGGTATCTACTTATATCACACACCAAATCTGCAGTTACCGCCATCATCGTCGTCGTCGTGATCGTCTTCACGATTCGTCATATCACTCCAGCTCTTCGAGTTTTCGATAATACATCTTTACCGTACATTTTGAATGAAAGTGACCTGCACCACACCATTTGTTTTGTTACAAAGAAAATTGTGATCGAACGATTGTTACTCGCGATCGTGCTAAAGTGATCCTTATTATATATGTATATTGTCAGAAATTGAAATTATTACAGGTATAAACGGCGCACTACCATTAGGCGCGACAGCCTGATCATGCGATAGTGTATTCCCTTTCAATTGTCGGCTGGATTAACAATTTTACAATCTGGAATAAACTTTTAATGCGATACGTATGCACACACACACACACACACACACACACACACACACACACACACACACACACACACACACACACACACACACACACACACACATACATCTC